GGGGTCAAGACTGAATTAGATCATCTGGATCTTCTGAACATGGCAATGATAGGAATAAATTCTGTAGGGGTGGGAAATCAGACCCTTCAGGTACTGCTGCACTCAAGACATTATTAACTCACCGCAGCCAAATTCCTTGCTCCTCCCAGTCCCCCAGGCAGAACAATAACATCAAATGGAGCATTATCCACAGCATCCTTAAGGCTAGAGTCAGGGCACACAACCACACCACGGCTACACTTTACAGGCTCCGAGCCTGCCAGTCCTGCCACCGTAACAGAGATCTGCAAGTCAGAGTAGTTTGTTGAATAAACTGGATACAGTAGCAACTACAACAAAGTAATGAAAAAACAGGACCCAGCTGCATTAACAAAACATGACATCCACATGCTGCAAGTTCTGAAGTTGCAGAAAAATGCTGACAACCACAACTGGTCACTGTTGGACAATAAGTTTAATAATAACCCCTACCCTCTCTCATCTACAATCAAAATTCTCTCTAACACACAGGTCTCTTTCACATCTACAACTGTAAGCAGTTAATTGCCAATCTGATTTGACATCTAGTATGGAACATAATTCCCTGTTTCCATCAGTCATTCAATGACATAGACCATCCTGCAATTTTACCCTTCTGGAAAAAATTAATAGATTCACAAGGAAAGAATAGTCTCTTGTAGTGTGTGTCTGTGTACAAGTTGCACCAGTCTTACTGTTGACATATAAATATAAACAAAATAATACGGTAAATGGACATTATACTGAATCCTGAGCACACTGTATGAAACAAGCATCTCAATTCCAGAACGACAAAACTAAAAGTCCAAATCCAAATCTGAATGAACGTTATTAGCATGAAGTTAGTCCAAACCCCTGCACGACGCAAAATATCAACAGATATTACAAGCTCCATTTCTTCTGCTTCCTCTGCCAACAAAACAAGGGCTGATTTAGTTGTCATTTTGCAAGTCGAAAAAAACTTTGAAGAGTAAGAACGAACGGCACAATGATGAAACTCTACAAACAACTTATTGATTGAGCACCGCAAAGAAACCATAATCACATACGATCATATAAAGTTAAAGGTATAACCAGACAATTCGTTCCAAATACTCTGCTCTGCATGGGTATTTTGGGGTCACGCCGCGGGTATACAATTGTGAATTTAACTATAAATTATTGATATAACTATGTGATTTATTTGTATTAGAAACAAGCACTGTATTTGTGCTATGAAATGTTCTACATCTTTGACTTCGACCTACAAAGAAACAACGGAAAGTAAATACACTTTCGTACTAATGTTTTGTATGCACACACCGTGACGGAGCTAAATATGGCGTCCATGCATAATTGTCACATTGCGCATAAGCCATTATATGCTTAATGAATGTGAGAACCCATAACCCGATTTTAATTCATCTTAGTAGTGATCTAGTTTACGATACATAGTCGGACAATTTTAACTATCACTTTACCAAGAGCACATCCACTTTGAGCCCAAATACTTGTAAAACAATTTCATTAACGGGCTTTATATTTGCGAACTTCGATAAGGTGACAAATAAGTTACAATAATGCATCTTACCTTCCTTCTATAACCATTCACGATGGTATTAATTAATTAAAATATATTCCATAGATCCTTCATAGTACATAACATGGATATGGAGCATGTTACATTACAATACTTGGTACAATAATTAATACCAAAGCAAATACAAATACAGCTATTCACATGAATATTTACAGCAAACAGACTTTATACGTAAACGCATCTACACAGTAGAAGCGAAACAAAAGATAATCTTTCACTGCTGACTTATATACTTTTATAACATAAGAACTCACATAAACCAACCACTTTTTCATTACTTTACTTTGGGCTAAATGTTTCACACTGCCACTGATGACAACTTGAAGCCAAAACAAGTTTAGTAAAGTAAACAAATAACCATTAATAGTGTTAAAAATGGCTAATTTACATAACTTCTGTATTATTACATGGTATGAGAGGTTTTAAGAATTTTATACTGCATTAAAGCTTCTTAATGTTGGATGGAAAAGTACTGAATAACTTGATCCCCACAGAGCACCTTCCTCATACATTACGGGGTTAGAATTTCAGTGATGGAGACCATGTACATACCATGTGTTTATTCTATGAATGTCAGAATTTGTATCAAAATTCTCCATGTTGTCCACAAAGAATGACAGTAATGAGAATAAGAATTCACTTGCAAAAGGAAAGCGTATTATATTTCTTGGAAAACAAACCTAGTCATTATCTGTAATATTACCCTCAGTCATTAAAGTTAAATCATTTACCACAGTTATTGCATAGTATACCACCTCTTACCACTCTTAGCGTCCCTTCCAATTTTATTTCGCTTGCTCCATCTTACCTGATAAATAATTTGAATCTTCATCATCGGCAACATTCTAATACCAATATAATTCGATTTGATATATTACTTTTATAAACACATTACAGCAGTCATAATTATCCTAGAATCACTGAATGGTAGCATTTTATATTTGTATACCATCTGGCTCTTGCATTTGTATAAGTTAAAAAATGCTGCATGCCCTGAGTTTCCTGGTACAATTTATTTATCATAACAGTACCAGATACATGTGGTCCAATAAAATCCATACATCTTGCTAAAAACTTTATGATGGAACAACACGGGAGACTTGAAATAAGACGACAGATCTTAAGAAGTGGACTGTACTTACCTGGCCCCAAATGCAGGCAAATGCCATTACAATATCATTCCACAATATCTATGTGAAATAATTTTCATGCAAGTTCAAATTCTTCAAGCCAACTTCACATTCATTCATCAAGGGGACATGCAAATCCTCTGAAGTGCCAAAGTTCATGAAAGACTTGCACTTTCTTAACATGTGTTTAAAATCTATCTGTTGGCATGGCAATGCCAAAAGTATTATAAGTCTTTTGAGATGTTGCATCATACAGTCTCACAGAAACTGTCCGATATATCAGAAGTGTTTACCGCTACCATATTATGGAGGGAGGAAGCACCCCTGAAATATGTTCATACTTGCTGCTGTGACAACTTCAACTCTCACAAACATGAATAATGCACATAAACATATTTGGAAGTGGCCACAACCTGTCTAAAGTTATTATCCTGGCAATCACGTGGACAGACGGGAAAATGAAATCAATGACACCAGTAATCCAACCAAGATTTGACCTGAACATGAGGCAAAACTGGTATGGTATGCATAAAATGTGACATGAGGGTGATTATGAATACTTTGAGGCTGAAGAAGTTCAAAGTGGCTCGCACTGCTCACTCTGTGCTGTTGCTCCACCTCCACAGTTGCCACGCGCTCCTGGAACAGCTTGCCGCAGCCACCTTGTCAGACTGTTCGCTGTCAGATGCGTCAAGGCACAGGGTAGTCTGCACATTTATAAGTTGGCCATCCTGTTCACATACATAACCATATGCAATGTGACTACTACGTACATGTGCAAGAAATGAATTATAAACTAACTTCTGGGACACTCTGTGGCATGCTGAAAGCACAGAAGAGTGAGCCAAGATTTGGCACACTAAGTGACTCCTATGAAACTGCACAGAACTGCAGCTTAATAACTCAAGTATAAAGAAGTAATCCTGGTGTAGTACTTGCACAAAATTAATATAAAATGGAAATGCTGTGCCTCATCGTAAAACTACTTGACACATTTCCGTAAAATATGATACCGCAATATTCATGTGAAACACTGCAGAAAACATTCAATTTGCCTTGTTACATATTAATTTAATTCATATTATTTCAATCATTAAAGTTTCAAGCACCTGATGATCAAACAATGCATGAGCCATATGACACTTTTTGCATTAAATATAAAGTTGCCCCATGCCAGGTAACCTTGGCAGCGAGTGGTGGGGCACTACCACTCAGTTGAAGCTACCAACCTTCATACTCCACTCCTGGTTGCCTTTCTGTCCGTGGCAGCGGAACATGATGACACGTACCGGTCTGGCCAGCGGGTTCTGTATCTCGGCACAGAAATTCTCCCGACGCAGCTCTCCTGTCAGTGTCAGTGAGAAGAACTGCAACATGTTCACGCTCATTCTCGTCATGTTTCATAATAAACTGCAGATAATGGGCACTGTCTATTTCAGCGCTTTGGTCTTGCAGGCAGACAGACACTAACCTGACTCGAGGTCGCCTTGGGGTGACAATTGTACATCCCCAGCTCATATTGCTCCTCACTGCTCCCCTTCTGCAAGTTGTCCAGACACCTGCGCTCACTCCGCACCTGCACACAAACACCACGATACACAGAGTCTGCCACAGGCTGCTGGTGTCAGCACCGCATCAAAAAGACGTACCTGTCCGAACGCCGCAACATTTTCTGTGGGAATGAAAATGTCTGGATACACATTCTGTAGATACCACTTGAATGGCTTACAGTTCAGCCCTTTCCTCAAAGCCTTACGTTCCGTCAGGTCCCCTATGTCTCGTTCCTAAACACAGAACACACTTCATGGCTACGATTACATTTTAAATGTGACTACAAGATGCACAAGATATTTTATTACAAGACACAACTGTACCTAACACCAACAGAGAAATATTCTAATCAGAAGAGGAATCCTAACCAGAGAATAATTTTTTCTGATTCTAGAATATTCAGAAGAAATTTGAAACAAAGACAAGGACCAGTACTGGAAGAGCAAGTTACAGGAGATACCACAGAGAGATATTACTTTGGGACGGAGCAAAATAAGGAGACTGTCACGGGAGACAACCCACATGCCCATGTAACTCAGCGCAGCAAATGCTGCCTAAACATTTTTCAGATTTGGTGAGTACTGTATGAAATACTGATAAAAAAAAATTGGTTTGCTATATTACACAGTTCTAGTGCATCTGCAAAGAGAACATGAAGCGTTCCAGCAACTCACACAGCACTGATATGGACATGGAAAAATTAACTGCATGCACAATTCAGGTGAAGAAAGGAACCTGCAGAAAACTGACATTAATATTAAAATGGGTCCCAGGGAAACAGATCCACTTAAAACAGCTCAGGATTAAGCTGAATGACGAGCAAAACTACTACTGGAGTCACCCAGAATTATGTACGCTGTCCATTAGTCGCTGAGTCAGTTACGTCTGAACTTACACGCAGGTCAGGACGATTCATATAGAACAAGCTTTTATACTCGTCCATCCACACCTCCACCATACGGGCTGTGTTTATCCCGTGTGTATCCTTGCCTCCAGGGAATGTATACGGGTGGAAGCTGCGAAAGATGTGCCCAACACGGGAGCAGGGGATGGTTTCCAAGGAGCCACCACATTGCCACACCTGAAACAACAACTGCCCCTCTACAGCAATGTCCTTGAAGCCCGTCTTCAAAAATCAGAATAGGCAAAATAAGATATAAGATATACCTCAAGATTCTGTGTGTGTGTGGCAAATCGTGAATCTACAATGACCATGACTCACCCTGAATGACATTTCCAAGTTCTCACCGCCCCAGACATCCATCTGCGAGTCGTACGAGCCTATCTCCCAGAAATAGTCACGTTCAATTGCAAAAAGACCACCTGCCATCGTCGGGGACCTGCGAAACAGCAACATGTCACACGGCTTGTGGGGTTCAGTCACTATATAGAGAAGTGCCTCGCATACCTGGTCGGCGCAACAGGAGAGCCTCGGCGAGCCTGCTCTGCTTCAGGGACGGCCACCCACGTGAAGTGTCCACTCCATGTGAACCCACCCACCTGCAACACAACACTTTGCAGTTGCTTCCAGCCGAACAATGAGGTTTACCTCTTTACTAGTGTGGGCCTCTCGAAACACTGGTTTCTTTCAGCATACAACATCTGAAGCTACAAAAGTTCATTCGTTGAAGTAAACATTTGTTTTGTTCAGTCCACAAAGATCTTAGCAATGCTCCCATCTCAAGTTCATTTAATTTAGTGAAGAGACACATTCAGACAGAGGGAGTGGGCAGGAATTACTTGGTATTAGCAGATCATTATGTCATCTTCACTGCAAACAGGGTTTGAACCCAAGTCCCCAGAAGCAAGTCAATAAAGTACCAACTCAACTGCTCTGAATCCATGACATCATACCTGGAAAAAATCTAATGATGATTTGCTATACATGTACTCTAGCGTTTTGTCATCGATCACATCGATGATAGGAACGAGAACAGCGGAGCGCTTCTCTTTGATTCGCTGAAGTAGCGGTTCCAACCTGCAACATTTTTAACAGGTAATTCTAGATCACGAGAAGAGTTCTTCATATTATAATTTTCTTTCTTCTCCGGTTTCATCCTACTCTCAGGCACAAGGCTTAATAGAGAATTATGCTTGATACACTTTGGGGCGCATGACTGTGTTGAACGCAATGCCTGTCTTTGGTCCATACTGTCACGAAACAGCGTGTCACCAACATGACAGGAGGGTTACTAAACTAAGTTTTTACCCATGGCTGCTCACCAGGTCTGCACCACTTCACAGTGAGCATCCAGAAAGATAAGCACGTCACCCACAGCTGCCCTCGCCCCAGCGAGTCGCGCCCGTATCAGGCCTGCCCTTTCTGTCAGGCGAATCAGACGCACTTTGGGTGGGAGCCGCGTCTTCAGGTAGTAGTTCAACCTGCCCTGCAGGTCCACTGTGGAAGCAAAAAGATGTGCACAAATTGCAGACATGATCTCAGGTGCTCAGGTGGTCCAAACAAAATAAAAATTAGTGTATGGGATTTAAATAATAGGTGGATCATGCATTTTCTGCACTCTTGTACTTCATAGAAAATATTATCAGGTGGTCAAAGCAAAGAGGATTAGATGGGCAACAATGCATGGGATGGATGAAAAGGGGGTACAGATCACATGAGCAACCCAAGCAAGAATGCATGAATAAGCGTGAAAAGGACCTTAAGGAAATATTATAAACTGGATTAATATGGTTCAGTGGCAGCTTCTTATGACCCTTCCAGTTCTGTAATGGGCAGAAAATGTCCCAATTAGCTGATCGAATTCTCAAGAACAACAAACAAAAAACATAAATTTACATTATCTAGTTTGCACCACTCAGTTAGACTTTTTAGGACCAAAGTGTAGCTTAACAAACCCCTGTCACTGCAGTCATCCACCAGAAGAATCTCCTTGAGCAGGTGAGCAGGTGAACTGTTCAGAACACTGTGCACTGTCCGTATGAGAGAGCTCCATGCCTCGTTGGTGAATATAATAACAACACTCGCAGAGGGCAGGTCCAAGTCATACTTCAGTTCCTTGCACCTGAACACATGGACGATAGATATTCAATGCAACAAACACCTTCATAAGCAAAGTTCACACACAAGCTGATGATACAAACTTGATGAGTTGGTAGAGTACAGTGATGTTCTGTCAGTATGACTGAAACACAGAATATACTAAGAAATGCTAAAAAGTTCTGCAAACAGCAAGATCCATTTCCAGTAGCTTAAAACAGAAACACTTTTACAGACTGCCAGTGCTGATGATGGTAATTCAAACATAACAGGAGACTCATGGCAGGGCTGCAGAACTGAAACACATTTGCACCCAGGACTCCTAAAATTATGTACAGAATACAACTTAAGTTGTCATCAGGAACAGCACGAAGTGCTGTGCCTGCATTAGAGAACCTTTTTCAAAACAAAGCTAGAAATCTTTGATACTTAATTAACTCCATGAGGCAGAGTCCTCCTTCAGGATATTCTATGGAATATGAAGGTTCACAAGAACAAATGAATGTTGTCCCCCCTCACTGACAGTCAATGCTAACAAAGTTTAGCTC